TCACTCAAATATCGTGGAAATTTCATCAGTAAGGAGAGGGGTAGGATCGAGTTCGAAGGCGAATGACTGCTTGCTTTGGTCTCTCTCGGGAAAATGTGCATTATGAAGAATTTGCATTATGTTTAAGACGCATTTTACCCATTTTCTAGGTGTGTTTACGAGGGCGACGGTGAGGTATCGGCATCAAGGGAGAGGTAGAAAAACGGTAGGAAGGGAAGGAGGAATAGGGAGTGAGCGAGAGAGTGTTTAGTTTTTAATTTCATTCGATCAGCAAAGTGATGCAATAGGCTTTTTCGAGAGCCAGATTTGAATAGTGATGGTAGTAATACTATTAATATGTATTTGTAAAACAAAATATTTCAGTGGTGGTCACCAAAAATACTTCATTATCCTGTAAATTGGTTATGATCAACAGTTGAAGCAAATAAATGTATTAGACATCAAGGGTCATTGAGCACTATGATAAAGTATTGTAACGAGTTGATTTAATAATTAAAACAAAATGTGTTAGAGGTCGTACAGCACTATGTGATAGAGAGTATGATAGTGAAAAGTGTAAAGGGGAGGTAGATGTTATAAGACGGGGATTAGTAAAAGGGGGAAGGGGTTAAAGGCAAAGGATGATTAGATCAAATGGAGGGTATCTATGCGCCTGAGGAAGTTTTGGGTGTCCTCAAGAGTTTCTGAAAGGGAATTGGGTGGAGAGGCCCGAGAAACGAAGATTTTCTTATGAGAAGTGGAGACAGACGTCCAAGGAGCAGATGGCCAGGTAGGTGTACAAGAGAATGAGGTAGAAGGTTGGGTGGAACATTTAGATTGCCAGAATGAGGGGTAGGCACCGAGGAAGTGGTTGAGATTGGAGTGTCTAGATGTAGAATGGCAAAAGAATTTGAGGTGGGATGGTAAGTGGTAGGGGGGAGGGATGTTGGTGGGAAGAGAGAGAAGCAGAGTGAAGAACAGCACTGGACTAAGGAGCGAGAGAGAAACCTGCCTGGCCTCGCGTAAAGTGAAGCCAAATTTGAATCTAAGAACTGCTACCTCAAACTCGAACGTGTAGGTAAGGCAGCTCCTATAAAATACATTATGGAGTCACTACAATTGGCACATGTGCGTGACTGTGCAGAGCCATTTGATCAGTTATGACTAGGTTGAGCACATAGAGGACTGCGGAATGTGAAGTGACACTGTTAAACAGGGTGCCCAAAACACCATTTCTGATGTAGACGGAGAAGTGGTTCATTTGGTCTGACAGGGCAGGTCCAAAATAGACTATGATGGAGTTTATGTCTACGGAAGGCAATCTTGACAATATTGGTGTACGGCTCAGAGCGGCATCTAAGGGGAACAGTTTTGCACTATACTGATACTGCCTCTTTGATCGTTGTCAAAGAGGAAGTTCAAAGCCTGACCGATCCGTGTTGTACACAAGGCAATATGCCAGGGAGATGCTAAGTCACGGTACAATTATTAAGGGCGACATTAGTCTGGGCTGGAACTGGTCAGCCAGGGTTGATAATGCACGAGCCTTGGGGCAAATGTAACTGATAAAGTGTGAACAATCGGAAGGGCTGCGGCCTACTTGTCTTTAGAGACATTGTAAAGGAGGGTATTGCCAGGGGGCTGGGGATGGGCTAAGAAAAGTACTCAAAAAGTTTTTAGATGTGGAAGTAATAGAAGGACGAGGATGGGAGGAAGAGGGAGTGGTTTGTAGCGAGGTGTAACTCGGATAAAGAGTAGTAAGAAAGGAGAAGGAGGGGAGAAGATCAAAATTGTGGATGATAATGGGAGAGGAGAAGAGAATGATTCGGAATGGAGAAATTTAACAAGTGTTCAATAGCGGGCAGCAGTAACGGCAGTACTGGCAAGAACCGTGATCAAAGGAGAATCAGGGGTCGTAAAACCAGAAAAGTTAAATTCAGGGAGGCTAGTTGATAAAGGGACCAGCCTTAATGCCTCTTATAAGAGTACAAAACTTTCGTTATTAGCCATGAAACATGTGGGAAGAGAAACGGTCTAATCCTCAAGGTCCCCATGAAGGTACCGTAAAGCCAGCTTCCACAGGAGAATGAATGCTTATTTTTTCTCTTTTGGGGCCATGTGTGTTATAAGAATGGTTAATGGTTAAAAGCAAAAATAAATGTGCTAGACATCTAAGGTCATGTAGCACTATAGTAAATGTTAGTAAAGGGTGGTTAAGTTAGTGATTAGTTAACAAAGCTGGGCAAAGGAATTGGTGAGTGAATGGGTTAAGGTCGGGTGAGGTAATGTAAAGGGGTTAGATTAAGAGAGGGATATTTATGTGTTTGAGAGGAAAACAGGTTGTCGAAGGGAGGATAGGTGGGGGGGGGGGGGAAGCAGAGCTACAGGCTGCTTCAAAACGTGTGCATGATAATAGAATGTGTGAGACTGAAAGAGGAACATTACATAAAGAGCATAGGGGTGGATCGGATTGCGACATCAGATAGGGGTGTGTTAGACGGGTGTGGAAAGGGATGCTTGTGATATAAGGGATTCATGTGTGTATCCAGGAGGGAGTGGAAGGGATAGAGGGGATGGTGGGAGGGTTAATGTGGGTGGGGTTGGAGTTGGGGGGGATGGGTTGTGTTGGGAGGGGGTAGGAGGATAGGGTGTAGGGGGGATATCGTTAGGAGGAGGATGGATATCGGCAGTCACTTGGTGTGTGGAGGAAGCAGGAGTTGTAGGATTTGAAGGTTGATGGGGGTCAGTTTTCATTAAGAAGTCTTGGATATTTTCAAGAGTTTCTTCAATGGAGTTGGTTGGGGAGTTTTGTGGGATAAAGGATTTCTTGTGAGGGGGGGAAGAGAACGCTGGTGTCTCAAGAGAGTTTTGGGGGATAAAGGATTTCTTGTGAGGGGGAGAAGAGAGGACTGGTGTCTCAAGAGTACGGGCAAAGGATGGTGGAGGTGATTGTGTGGTAGGGGAAGAGGGGGTGGAACGTTTGTTCTGTCTGTTACGGGGAGTGCGAGGAGGGAGAGGGGAAGGTGTTGGGGTTGTAGTGGTGATTGGAGTATCTGTAGTAGAGATTGGAGTTTCTGGATTTAGGATGGCAAAAGAGTTTGACTGGGGAAGGTAGGTGGGGTTAGTGGGGGGGTTAGATGTAGGAGGGGTGGGTTTAGGAGAAGTGTTAGAATGAGCAGTATTACTGGAGTAAGGAGTAAGAGAGAATCCACGTCGACGTGCTTCCTGTCTGGCTTCACGCAGTGCGAGTCCGAGTT